CGGGACTGACCTAGGGTGAATTTTTAAATAGGGATAATTTTTAATGATTTTAAACAAGACACAGCTACAAATATTTGGTTTTTAATTGGCTTTTATAGGGAAATGTTTTGTATTGTTTTTAATATGCTGTGAGCCGCCCTGAGTCCCATGGGGGAGAAGGGCGGCATATAAGTCTTATTATAAATAAATAAATAAATAATAGTAATCATCTTATTAAATCAATATATGTCCTGTTTTCAAATTTCTTATTTAATCTTAGTTTCCCTTCTACATTCAAACCATTCTTATCAGTCATAGTTTTTTTTTCAAAGTTAGTAACCTTTAAATATCCAACCTTTTCATTCATGTACATCATCCCAATGTTTTTACATTTTATATATTATAAAAATTACTATACTACTTATATGTCTTATCTCTCCTCCTAAGAGACCCCTTTATATCCATAATTTATCTATTCTTTTAACCATATACAAACAGGTAGATCGCATCAAATCTCTCAGATCTGATTCTAGCTTTCTTTTTTTGCCAACTAGTTTTTCAAGTTAATGTGTTCGACTTGCCCAGAGTTTTTTCCTGTATTTTTGTAAATGCTGTTGGGAATAGAAAAAACAAGTTAGATAACACGTATGTTTTTTGTCTCCCAAACTTTAATGAGTGTCCTGGTCGTTCTATAGTCCATTTTGTTAGATTTTCTTTCCAATTTTCAAGTTGATTTTGAGGTTCTGAAATATAGGATATCTTTTCCATTTCCATTGTTATGGTAAAACCTTGCAAGTTTTCTTTTGTTTGTATTAATTTGTAGTTCTCTTCATCTGTAATTTCCCTTTTTGGGTCACTGACCTCTGATTTGTATTCTGTTATCTGGTCTGTTTGTTCATTATCATCATTTTCTGAGAATTTTTTACTTGTAAGTTTAAGTTGGAAGTGTGCTCATTTATGCCATCAAAGTTGTTTTTAATCTCATCATGATTTGGAATCATTGTCATTTGAAACTGTTGCAGCATTGCATATATTTCCTCCTGGAAGGTATTTGCCTTGCTTTGAAGTGTTGCTCCTGCAGATCTCTGATGTTCCAGACTGGGGCCTTCAGAAGAGGATATTAGATATACATTTCTGCCACGTTTTGATAGGTGTGCAGCATTCATTTTATCTCCCCCTTCCAGATGTTTTTTCACTGGTACCATAATCTCTGTGTTTAGCCTTTTAAACCAGCCAGTCTTAAAATTTTCCAACTTTTTAAACAAAGAATTGTTTTTTAATAATTTCATCAAAACTCTTTCAGATGTAAAATCTTAATGGTTTTCTTAATTTTCAGATTTATCCAGACTATAATGTTATAATGTTATTAATTTTATTTCAATATATTTCTTTTCCTCGTGAAGTTTTCCACCCGTCTATGGAAGGGTGGGGGGTGTAATCCCCTCCCTTCTCACTTTCAGAGGATTTCTTGCTTTGGGGATCTTTTCCAGGGAATCAATTACAAAATAGAAGAGAGAAGATTGATATTCTCACCCAGTTCCAAGCACGCTGTTCACCGTTGTTCTGGTTCATGCTCTTGGACTTTGGCTGCTGGTAGCTTGGGCTAGATACTGATGTGCAGCTAGCCTTTCTCCTGTCGGGTTGGAGGGCTTCCTTCGAATTGAATGGATCAACCACTGTCATTCTGTGATCATTGGGGTTCCCCTCCTTCTTCATTGCCTCTCCATTTAGGGTCCCCTGGCAGGGTGAAACCAGCCGTGGACTGCGGAGCTCAGCAATCCCTTGGCTGCGTTGTTATGGGGTGGAACTGTTAGTCCTTCCCAAAGCATTTCTATGCTAACCTTGTTTCCAGCTCTGACGCATTCCTCCATCGCATTCCTCCACCGCTGTGTGCAGCCCCACAAAAAAAAGAAATTTGTAGGACTAAAAAAAAAAGTTCAATCAATCAATCAATTCCAACTTCGGGAGATCTCCTTTTTTTCCATGAGAAGTTGGAATTGATTGATTGAACTTTTTTTTAGTCCCACAAACAAAAGAATTTTGTGGGACTGCATAAGGCAGTGAGGAACACGATGGAGAAATGCGTCAGAGCTGGAAAGAAGGTTAGCATAGAAATGCTTTGGGAAGGAAGGGCATATGGGTGGTGGTGGGTGGGGCAAACTCTCCAGCTCCGCGGCAGCAGAGAAATGCGATGGAGCTGGAAAGCAGGGACTTTCCGGTTCTGGCACTCTAACTGCCATTTTGGTGGCTGTGTGGGCAGAGCTGCGAAGAGGGTTCAGAAGGGGACTGAAAGGGAAGAGGGTGGGTGGACAAGTGAGGGGGGATCTGTCTCATACCACCCCACTTGTTCTGCGGCTGCTTTTGATCGAGCCACATCTTGCCCACCAAAGTCGCTGCCAAGATGCTCCCCCGATGCGTTCCTCCATCATGTTCCTCCGCCGCCGTGTGCAGTCCCACAAATGAAATTTGCCAAAGTGGATCCCAGGCTGCAATATGCGCTGCAATGGAGAGACAGGAAGTGGAGCAGCTAGGGTGAGGGAAGGAAGAATGGGGAGAAGAAAGAAGAAAAGCAGCCGAGTGAAAAGTGGGGCCATCCCAGCCGGCCAGGCAACGAAGCACCACCAAAAACAGCAGAGTCTGTTTGTGTGCCTGCTACACACTCACCCCATGTCAGCCATGTTCTCCATGCCTTAGATCAACTGTAGCGCACCATGGAGAGCATGACTAACACGGGGCGAGCATGTGGCAGGCAGGCACAGAGATTCCACTGTTTTTGGCAGTGCTTCTCACTTGGCTGCTTTTCCTCTTTCTTCTCCCTGCTCCTCCTTCCCTCACGCTGGCTGCTCCACTTCCCGTCTCTCCATTGCAGCCCACATTGCAGCCCAGGCTCCACTTTGGCAGTGGCAGGGTTTTGGGGATGGTGAATCCCCATTCGTGGCATGTCCAACAACTGATCACCATGCTGCCTCTCTGGTGGGCACTGAAAAAAGCAGAGTCCATGTGCATGCCTGCCTCATGCTCACCCCACGTCCACTATACTCTCCACGACGCGCTGCAGCTGATCCAAAGAGGCCGGCCAGGCACTGAAGCACTGCCGAAAACACCTGCTATGCACTCACCCATCAGCCATGCTCTCCATGTCTCATATCAGCTGCAGCAAGGAGAGCATTGCTGATGCTGGCAAGGCAGGTGCACACACAGACTCTGCTGTTTTCGACGGTGCTTCGGTGCCTGGCTGGCCGCCTCGGTTCAGCTGCAGCGCACTGTGTAGAGCATGCTGGGTGCGGGGCAAGTGCGAGACAGGTGTGCACACAGACTCCGCTTTTTTCAAGTGCCATTTTAACAACCAGTTCACCGAACTCAACAGAAAGTAGGTATCGTTTCTGCTGAACTGGTGCGAACCGACTGAATCCTACCACTGCTTCATTGCTAGAAAAGCAATATTGAGAAAGCAATATGGTGAGAACAACAAAAGGGAAGGAAAAGGGGGAGAGATAGAGAAATGGAGTTCATGCGGAAAGGTAGCCTATCCCAATCTAGGGAGGTCAAATAAACCAAAGGGAAGACAGAATCCATTACAAGGAGACAATGCAGGGCATATGAGTAAAACATGACGAAGCTGCCAAATAAAGGGACCTTTCTTAATTATTCCCCCCCGAATATAATTAGTGATTCAGAATAAAATAACTGAGACTCTTGTTCTAATTTATTGAATATGGGGAGCAGATAGACTTTAGTCTGAGAGCTCCAGAATTTAAATGGTAACTACTAAAAGGGATAGATTTTTTCTTCTTATTCATAATTAACACTCCCTGAGGACCCATCTTCTAAAGGAAGGAGTAACCACTTGGGCACAAGCCTGAAAATGGGCAGATTATAGTGCCAAAGCTATAATTTGGTTTCTAAGTGATAGTAAACAACTTATAGTATGATCTGTAGAATCTGCAATACGTAATAATCCATTCTCTTCCCAGCATTTTCATCCTGATTGAATGTCATAGGATCTATTTTTAACAGAAAAAACTCACCTTTGATAGAATTCAAACTGGTTTCTGAAAATTCTTCATTCAGGTCTATCAGCATCCCCTCAGATTTGCATCGTGAGAGGCAACTGGCATTAGCAGCACGAATCCTCTGGGCTGCCATCTTAAGGTATGTGCTGTTTCTTAAAAATCAGAAAATCTAATGGGTCATCTTCTCTAGAAGAGATGTGATAAATTCTGTGCCATTTATTTTCAGTGGTTCAATTACCAATTCGCTCAATATTTTCTTCCACAATATATACCTGAAGAGAAAAAAGACCATGATGTGGTAATTTAAAATAAGCATCTTTGTATGACTAAATTGCAGAAATCTTATTTATTTGACTTATATGGCTGCCCATCTTAAAAGATATAACTCTGGGAGGTCACAGCAGGAAACCAAAGAACAATAAAACCAAAAAGGTAGCACTTTTCTGATGCAACCAACATAATCAACTTCAGGTTTCAGACTCATCCTACCCCAGTGCTTGGGGGAAGAGTCAGTTCTTTATGGTTTTCCAGAAGGCTAAGTGGGTGGCAACTTGCCAGATGTCTTGGGGAAGGGTGTTTCACAGGGCAAGGGCTACTACACAAAAGGTCTACTTCCTGTGAAATATAAAATATTGCTTTCTGAGCTGTAGCTAAGCAGAATTTGTCCTGTAGCTAGGGGAACTTTAGACTTTGTTCTGTAACTAGGGAATGTTTATTAATAGGTACTCTGGATAGGTTGTGAGCTTGTTAGTATCCAACCAATGGAAAACCAGAACAATGTTGAGCAGGGGGCGGGGAGGAGTATAAAAGCCTTTTGCAAGTTTTAATCTGGGTCCACCTCAGATGCACCTGTGTTTGCAAATATGTAATAAACGTTTTGCTATTTTTTGGTACTAGATTGCCTTTTATTGCTTTATTGCTTATCTATTTCTAACATTCCTAAATAGCTACATTTAAAGAAAGGGACCTATAGTATGCCCACTCCATCTGATCTGATGGAACAGGTAGATACCTTCAGGGAGATGCAACAAATAATCTGGCCCAGTATCATGTATGGATTTTAAAAATAGTAACCAGTACTTTGAATTATACCTGACAAAAAACTGGGAGCCAATGTAGATTGCATATGAGAGGCATAATATAGGCAAAATGAGGGGTACCAAATACTGCAGGTGCCGCTGCATTCTAGACCAGCTGTAACTTCTGAGTGATCTTCAAGGGCAGCTCCATCTAAAGCTCATAGCAGTAATCTAACCAGGGAGTGGTCAATGGGAACAAAACTGGGTGCAATTGGCATAAAAGCTAAATCTGTGCAAAGTTCCCTCCCCTTAGCCAAAGCTACCACTTGCTCCTGAAGGATGAGCAATTAATCCAGGAGTCCCCCACTCAATTGCACACTTGCTCTGATTAATGAGTAGCACACTTGCTACTCCAATCAAATATCAAAGATAACACATCAGCAGACCCAGCTGTGAGGATGTGGGGCTGAGGGCATAAATTCAAGGCTGCTCAGTCTTCTAGAATTGAGTTAGTTCTTCTCCATCCACATCCTCATAGCCTTCAGGTACTGGGTCAGCACTGCAAAAGATGCTGGTCAGAAATGGAGATATATAACTGAGTAACACCAACAAACGGATGAAACCACATCCTCTGCTATAAAATGACCCCATCTGGTTATTTCATGCAGATGTTAAAGAGAAATAGTGAGAGATCTGAGTCATATCGTGCCACACATTGCCACTAACATAGTTTACAGGGGAGGCTATGGAGGAAGAAGAACCACTGCAAAATAGCATCTTCAACTTCCAATCCCTGGAGCCAGTCTGGAAAGCAAAAACTGTAAATGGTATTGAAAGCCACCAAGAGATCTAAGAGAGTCAGACCAGTTGCACTAAGTGTTCCAAAAATCATCTGCAAAAACCAATGCTATCTTCAGTACTGTACCTAAACCTGAACCCAGAGAGAAAAACAGCCAACAAAGAGCGACAGCTCTTCGTATGGCTGAAGCTGCCGTCATCCGGAAGTGGAAGCCAAGAAACCGATTTCATTCGGTCAATTAGATTGGTCCATTGCAGGGGGCACTGGCTACACTTGCCACGTTACCTGTCCAGCTTACCATAGGGGATCACATAGAGACTCTAACATTTGTAGTGATCCCTGGCATGGAATGCCACCTTATCCTGGGCATAGTGTGGCTGATCAAGTGGAACCCGTGGGTGGAACTGAGATTCCCAGATTCCCAGATGGAGAGGCAGTAAGAACCCTGTCTCAACCCTGAAATGGGGAAAGCCCCTCCGAAAGTGCAGCAGCGGTGGGGGAAAAGGAGTTACAGGACATACCAGAGGAATACCGGGATCTAGCTGAAGTGTTCAGCAAGGAGAAATCTGACGAACTGCCCCCCCCCACTGACCCACAGACTGCTCCATTGAGATATTCCCGGGGGCAAAATTACTTAAGCCGAAACTGTATTCTATGAGCCCAAGGGAGATGGAGGAAATGCAAAAGTTTATAGACAAAAATCTGGAAAGGGAGTTTATCCAACCAGCAAAGCCCAAGACTGTGCTATTTTGTGAAAAGAAAGACCGGACTTTTTGCCTCTGTTTAGCCTATAGAATTTTGAATGCAGAGAGCGAGAGTAACCTCTATCCCCTCCCTCTGATGAAAGTCATGCTAGCATACCTGTCGAAAGGAAAAATCTTTTTGAAACTGAACTTAAGGGAGGCATATTACAGAATTAAAATTAAAGAGGGAGATGAATGAAAAACAGCTTTCAATTGCCCCTTAGGATGTTACCAGTTCAGCCTTCAAGGGGCACCTGCAGTGTTCATGCAATTAATAAATGACGTGCTCTGAGAGCACCTATATAAAGGGATGCTTGTTTACCTGGACAATATCCTGATATTCATTGAAACAAAGGAGGAGCATGTGAAACTAGTCAGAGCTGTATTGAAAAAACTCCAAGCAGCTCACCTGTATGCCAAACTGTCTAAATGTGAATTTCATAAGGAAAAAATTGATTACCTGGGGTATTGCATCTCACCAAATGGCATAGAGATGGACCCTGAAAAAGTCCGAGCTGTACTAGAATGGGCTCCGCCCTGCACTAGGAAGCAGTTGCAGAGTTTCCTCGGATTTGTTAATTTTTACTGTCAATTCATCCTCTTCTTTGTGCAGATCATGCTACCAATTACTAACTTACTAAAAACCAAAGGGGAGGGGAAGCTGAAGCCAAGTCATCTTTTGAAATGGATGGTAGAATGTCAAACCACATTTGAAAGACTGAAAAGACTATTCTCTGCTGAGCCAGTTCTAAGACACCCTGACACTGATAAACCGTTTGTGATTCAGGCTGATGCCAGCGATGTAGCTGTGGGGGCAGTACTGATGCAGGAGAATGATGAAGGGAAATTACAACCTTGCATATACACGTCAAGGAAAGTCATAGAACAAAGGTAGGCAGTCTGGGAGAAGGAGGCTTATGCAGTCTGATGGACTCTCCTAACCTGGCGATATTTCCTGGAAGGGAACAAAATCCAGGACCATAAGAACCTAGAAGCCCTAAAGATGCCCAGAAAACTAACCCCTAAACAAGCAAGGTGGTCACAGTATTTCCACTGATTTAACTTCACATTAAAACACCTGGAGGGAAGAATTTCTTAGCTGATGCATTTTCCAGACTGCCCCAATACAACAGCAACATAACAGAGATAACAGACCCACTCAAGCCATCAAAACAATTAGTAGTTCAAGTTACCACCCAAGCACAAGCCGAACTCTAGAAGCCCCTAGCAAGCCAAGCAGGGATTGAATTCAGAAAAGTGCTAGAAACTGACGAATGGTTCCTGAGCCACAAGAACCTATGCACTATGAACGATGGTTTGCCATGGGTGGGAGGGAAGCTGTACATCCCAAAGAGTCAGAGACTGACATTTATGCAGCTATGTCATGATTCAAAATCAGCTGGTCATTTCGGATTCATAAAAACTCTACACCTAGTGAAACGGCAGTTTTGATGGCCATCGATAAAAAAGGACATTGAAAGCTACGTGGCTAGTTGACCAATTTGTGCTGCAGCTAAGAGAAGACAGGGGAAGACCCCAGTTTTGTTGCAACCAGTATTAAGACCATCAGCAACGTGGAAGGAAATTTCTATGGACTTCATTGTGGAGTTACCAGAAAGTGGGAGGAACACAGTCATTTGGGTTGTGACAGATCTGTTCTCTAAACAAGTACATTTTATCCCATGCCAAAAAATCCCCAATGCAAAGACACTTGCAAAGCTGTTCGTCCAACACATCTATCAACTTCATGGGGTCTCACAATGAATCATATCAGATAGGGGAGTACAATTCACATCAGAATTTTGGAAAGCATTCCTGGGACTTTTGGGAACCACTCAGGGATTGTCATCTAGTCATCATCTGCAGACGAATGGTGGGACTGAACAGTCGAACTCAGTACTGGAGCAGTACCTAAGGTGCTTCATAAATTACCAGCAAGACAATTGGACTGAACTGCTCTTCTTCGCAGAAGTCACTATAACACAGTACATTCCAGCACAGGCTACACCCCTTTCCAGGTGGCAACGGGACAAAGCTTCAATCCAATGCCTGAACTTCCATCGAGCGAACCAACCATCCCTTCCCTGAAGGAATGGATTGCACAATTACAAAATACCTGGCCTGTTGTAAGAAAGGCTTTAGATGAGACTAGAGAAGCATATAAATTCCAGGCAGATAAGAAACAAAGTGAACCCAAACCAGTTCAAGTAGGAGAGAAAGTTTACGTGTCTACAAAATACCTAAAATCCCTGCAGCCCTCAAAGAAGCTAGGACCCAAATTTGTGGGACCTTTTCCCATTAAAAGAATAATCAAACCTATCATGGTAGAATTGCAGCTCCCTAAGATGCTCTGACAGGTTCACCTGATTTTTCACTGCAGCCTTCTGAAAGGTGAACTGCAATCGCCCTTAAGGACAGCTGCAGCTCTCTCCCCTCCTCCAATCATGGTAGAAGGTGAACAACATTTTAAAATAAAAGAAATTGTAGAAATTCCAGAAAACACCATGTTTCCACCCAATATCTAGTAGCATGGAAATATCTCCCTTCTTCCCAGAATGAGTGGGTTCAGAAATGCCATGTCAGGGTTACTCTGTTCCTCCTCTA